TTCGTGTAGTCACCAAAATCCTACTTCCAGGTGCAGCAGGTTTGAAAGCTTGATTAAATGATTCCCAAGATCCACTGTCATCGGTCCACACATCATCCAGAACAAGAAAAACCTTCTTCCTCTCAATCTCTTTGCAAATTATTTCCAGAAGATTTTGCAGTGAAAACGAATCAAGATTTAGAGCTGAAGCACGATCAGGCCCTGCAAGACCCACAATAACTTCTTTTGCAACTCTGCTCAAATCAAAAACTGCCGTGACGCAAACCCATATTTTCTTTTCAAATTTTTCCGTGACTGCCTTATCATTATATACAAGTTGAGCAAGAGCTGTTTGCCCAATCCCTCCCATGCCGACAATCGAGAAGGTTTTGACATCACTCTCTATTTCATCACTGTTACCACACAACAAACTGTCTATTAAGTCTTTCTTAACCCCATCTCGGCCATGTAACTTTGACACCACAGCAAAAGATGTACTTCCTACTCTTCCAGGCTGGCTAACTTCACTTGGTTTCAATTGATACCTATCCTTGTCCTTAGCAATCTCATCTAATCTTTCATTGATGTCCTTTATTTTAAGAGCAATGCCACGGCGATAAACAACTTGACCACAACAAAAACACGAAAAGAAGGAACGACATACCTTTCCCTTGGAAAGAGAGAAGTTTTCCTGATCTGCTTCATCTAATTGCAACTCCGAGGGCGCAGTGTTCCACTCATCCAACACGTCCTCCGTATCATAACATACTGCTTTGAGGCGTTCTAACCAAAGCTTGATGTTTTCCTCCTTCATCTGCCTTTCCTCAGCATCATTAAGCAAAGCACGGATGGACTCGAGATTGTTTTTGAGCCTCTCGATTGCTTTCCCCACACCAGTCACCAGTTTCACCTCTTGTTGTAACTCTTCATAACCGACTGTTATTAGCTGCTGCAAGATAGCGGAAACAAACGCCTCCGACATTTTCGGAGATAATACTGATTGATGAGGAGAGAAATTGAAAAGAAATGAGAAAAATCGGTGAAGAAACAGAGTGAATGAGGTAAACAGTGAAGGAAGGAAGGATGCAGATGAGTTGCTGTATTTAAAGGAGAATAAACTTGCCATAAGATTTTTAGTCTCAACCACTCCACTAGTAGGTAAGTTTAGGGTGGGTAAGATTCGAAAGTTGGCCCATCATCTAGAAGAAGTGACCTTCAAAGTCTACGAATTTGAAAGCCATTGCCGTAATTTGTGGGCACAGGTTAGGTTGTTGTGACCATCGATTTTGTTATTTGTGATTAACTTTACATGTAATTTTATTAACTTATAAATTTTTTTTATTAAATAGATCATTATAATATTCATAAAATATTTATTTATAATTTTTTATTAAATAAATAGTTATAATTAATATCATAAGTACAAATAAATAAAACGAATGAATAAAATATATAATATAATAAAAAAATATAATGTATTTATTTAACATTTAGCATTTATGGCATAACTAGAAAACCATAAAAATATATATATATATATATATATATAACAAATATGGTAGATCTAATATTTAACCATAAATGAAAGAGTAACACAGATGAGAGATGCATCTCAAGCCAACTGCTCTGCACCTAACATTTCCTTTCTTCTTTGACCTTTCATTAACAAAGGATCTAATATTTTACCCAAAAAAAGAGAGTTGGAAGATCTGAAAATAATAATCATAGAATAAATCGATACTAAAAGACATTTCAACTAAATTAATCGAATGCAGAGAGTGAAGAACCTCAACTGCACGACCTTCGGTGGATGCCACTTCCGGTGAAGGCATTATTTTCGGCTGTCCTTTTCCTTCTTAACCACTCTTTGCTGCCTCATTTTACAAACCCATCAATCTTGCTTTTCTTTCATTGTCATTCAGTCATAAAGTTTGCGCCTTTTTTATTCCCTCCGCACCCCAACCCCCCCAATTGCTGCTGTTGCTGCGACTGCTCCTCTGTCATCCACAGCTCCTTGTGATGGCAGATCCCAAGATTTCATTCGCTGAAACCTTTCTCTGCAGCGCTTTTGCCGCTTGTTTTGCCGAGGTACCCACGATCTGTGGAGTATAATGTGTATGATTTTGTGTTTGTTTGTTGTACTCTTTGTCTACTTGATGAATGGTTTTATGGGAAATCATCAGTTTCTTGTGTATTAAACTGTAGATTGATGATAAACTACGCATTTATGATCCTATTTGAATCTCAGTCTTATTTATGTATACTAATTTGATGTGATATCTTAGTCTAATTGCTTCGTTATTATGATTCTATTTGTATTTGGATAATTCATGATGCAAGGGAGGGTATCTGTTATTTTCTCCGTCTATAATCCACAGAATCTTGGACTTTTATTACTATAAACATTATTACCATAGCAATTATAGTCTATGACTAAAAACATTTGTTTCCAATTGCTTCCATTCTATTTTTATTTTGGGTAATTCCAGATCAAGGAAGGGTATCCTGTAGGTTTCTTTTTGTTACTAAATAGCAATTATAATGTAATTCTCATCTTTTTGTCAATCTGATTTTGGCTCTTATCAAGATCTTTGTGTTTTTAAACAAAAAAAAATCCTTTTTTATCATTCCCTTTTTCCTTCCCTGTAATGGAAATGGAGTTTCCTCTTAATGCAGAACATGATGCAAGCTAAAATACTGTCCTTTTTCTTACATTGTGCTCATGTTTCCAGTTTTGTACCATACCTTTGGACACTGCTAAAGTCAGGCTCCAGCTCCAAAGGAAAGCAGCTGGAGATGCAGTTAGCTTGCCTAAGTATAGGGGCTTGTTGGGTACTATGGCTACTATTGCAAAGGAAGAAGGTTTATCAGCACTTTGGAAAGGCATAATTGCTGGCTTACACCGCCAGTTTATTTATGGAGGTTTAAGGATTGGCTTATATGAACCTGTGAGTCTACAATGAAGATCCAGGTTTTTTAATTTTATTTTTAGTTTTATTTATTTATTTATTTAATGTTTCATTGATGATAGATTCATGTATATGTGTAAAATTTCCGTGTCCTGGACAGGTCAAAACATTTTTAGTTGGCAGTGATTTTGTTGGAGACATTCCTCTGTACCAAAAAATCTTTGCAGCTTTGCTGACTGGTGTGTATATTACTGACTACCATACTGCTCTAATTATGTAGATCTTTGCATTGCTGCCTTGTTTTCCTGATGTATGGATGCTAAGTTACAAACGGTTTGCTTTTTTGTTTATGTTAAGATGCTACATTTTGCATTAAAATCTTAATGATGATCTCCATGTCAAATAGGTGCTCTAGCAATTGCAGTTGCTAATCCAACTGATCTTGTCAAAGTTCGACTTCAAGCTGAAGGCAAATTGGCAGCTGGGATCCCTAGACGGTATTATGGGACTTTGGACGCTTACTACTCAATAGTTAGACAAGTCAGTTTTCTATATTATTAGTACTTTCCTATATTATTAGTACTTTCATTTCCTTAGTATTTTAATGTAGTTATTAACTTATTTTGATAATCAGGAAGGTCTGGGGGCCCTGTGGACAGGGCTTGGGCCTAATATAGCACGGAATGCTATTGTCAATGCTGCTGAGCTAGCAAGCTATGATCAAGTAAAGCAGGTAAGCAGCCTGAGCTTACGGTTTTAAGAACTTTGATAATGCTCATAATATTTATTTTATTGCTGTGTAGTTGTATCATCACTATGTTCTAATTTCTTTATACTTATGCAGACGATTTTGCAAATTCCAGGATTCACAGACAATATTCTAACTCATCTACTAGCTGGTCTAGGTGCAGGGTTTTTTGCAGTTTGCATTGGTTCTCCCATTGATGTGGTAGGTATTTGGTTTCAACTCACTCTTATGTTAATCAGAGAAATTTAATTGGTAGCTTAACATTATTTGTCATCACTAATCAAAATGGTCATCCTGTAGCTTTATATTATGCTTTGGTAAATTATTCTTTTCTGGACCTCTACTTCCTGAGACTCAGAAATTGGCATGACATGCTAGCAAGACTACGGATGTTTACAGTATACTTGGAAAAGATTGTGTACAGAATTTTTTATCATCTTAGGCGATTTATTTGACCTTTATTACATGAGTAAGTTGACACTGGTTTGTTGTTGCTGGCTTGCTGCCTCATCATGTTGCAGGTGAAATCTAGAATGATGGGTGATTCAACCTACAAAAACACTATTGATTGTTTTGCCAAGACCTTGAAGAATGAGGTGTGTTCATACTCTCAGATTTTATCTAGATTTGGTCTAGAATTTGTCACTTGTTGCTATAGTTGCACTACTGTCCTGCTATAGGGAACCTTCAAACTCCTATATATGTCCCTGATCATGAAAATTTTTGTATAAGCTGATGAAGAAACCTATCATCAACTAATCTATAATTATTTTGTCCATGCAATTAACCATGTTCTTCTGAAAGTACTTGGTCTTGTTGCACATGTCATATTTACATTAAATCTTTTCCTTTGGCCACAGTTAGTTTTAATAGAAACTTAGCATAGGTTAAAATTCTTTATAACGTCCACTAGCTTCACCAGATATATAGCAACTCACTGAAAGCTTATTTCATCACAGGGGTTTCTGGCCTTCTATAAGGGGTTCCTCCCAAATTTCAGTCGGCTTGGAACTTGGAACGTGATTATGTTTTTGACTCTTGAGCAAGTAAGATTTGCAAATTATGTTTGATCCCTTTTCTCTTTTCCCCCCAGTAAACTTGCATCCTTCTACCATTATAAGCGTGAGTTGGAACAATTTTCTAAGATGAGTATCGAGACAACCTTCCAAATGTTTTGCCTGTTTACACCTATAGATATGCACTTGTTTTTGTTTGTTCTTTTAAAAGAAAATTTCTTAGAATGAACTTTCTTCTATTCCCTCTTGTCCGGAAAACTTGAGAATGGACTCTCTTTTATTGTTACAATTTTTTCTGTCTCAATTTGCCGAACAAAGCCTTAAGTCTTTCAGATGGCTACCTTCCAGTACTAAAAGTGCTAATCCTTCTTTCATCATCTTGATGGCAGGCAAAGAAATTTTTCCTGAGAGAAGTAATTTACGACTAATTTTCATACGCAACCACGAGTAAGCATGGCCTCTGTGGGCTATGATTGTCACGTTGGCTCTCCACAATCATTTTTTAGATCACCGAAGGGTGAGGTAGCTGCCATTCATTCTTTTCATTTATGATGTGCACAATAGAAATGATAGTTGTTAAAACCATTACAGTGGTCGTAGAAGCTATAGATCTGTTAGTAATTACACTGTGAGATGACATGCATGCTTGATGCTGCCCTCCTCCCTCCCAAACCAAAGTTGAGAAACATATGCTGCATTGGATGTGGATTTGAGCTGTATGTAATACCAAAAGACTACATACTTTCTTGTAATATTATAATTTGCATTTAAATTGCTGTTCCTATCCTGATGTTGCTATCAACTTTGGTGTCTACATTATGAATCTGCATTTTGATCTGAAAGATATTATATAATCAGCATTTTACTGTCATTACAAACCGAGAATGCTTCCACAAAGGTAACGCCTTTCAACAAAAGTGCCACAGGAAGCTAAACAAAGTTTCTCCCTTTAATTCAAAAATATGAAACCAATCCAGAAATCCATACTTCAGGTGCGAGGGACTGGGTAAACTCTGGCCTTGATAATTGACCCATTTCCGAGCTTAAACCCGGGAGAGACAGCAAACGCGACAACCTGACCGGCTGGGATCCGTCCACCGGAAAATTTGACCACACTTTCCATGTACTGTGGATGGAACTGGGCTCCCCTGCTAGCCTCGAACAGGTTTGGGGGTGGATCAAGTGAGAATGCCAACAGGTGAAGCAACCAGATGGCCTTGGCCAACCCCAAGAACTCTCCGTAGAACTGACTCCGGGGATGGTTTCCGGCCACTACTTGGTCGTGGTGCTCCAAGTTTCCGAACAAGGACTCTTCCATCTTGGGATGAACTATGGCAAGGTAGTTCTTTGAGCAGAATTTGCCGAAATGACATGTGGGTAAGATTCCGAGAAGCTCGACTGGGTCCATCGCCTTCATGTCACGGTACTGGGTGAAACAGTCACGGCGGTACTGGTCAGGGTTGAGGAGTGACGAGAGGCTGCCGTCCATGTAGAACGTCTCGTGGTCGAAGCCTTGGAAAATCTTACGGGCGACGTAGGATTCAAGAGCATACTTGGCATGGTGGTTTGCGATGACGGAGGGAGTGATAGTAGTGGTTATGAAGGCGGTGTCAGTGTTAGCAGTAGCGGACTCTATGGAACGGACTGCGGCGGCAATGTCCCAGTGAGCAGAGCGCATGAGGGAGAGGAGAAGGGACGCGAATGACTTCAATGCCTCTTTGACCTGACTCATTGTTGCCTGGAATAGCTCCGGCGCCGGCGCCGGCGCCGCTGCAACCCCTGTCAGCAAAAGGCCGACAAGTTAAAACAATTGACGTGGCACGATTTCATTCGTTACAAAAAATGGCTTCAGCTTTATTCACATTCTGTCTTTGGTCCTTAATTACCAATATATCCCAAAGAATCTTATCAAATTACAAGCATAAACACAAAAATGCGACGAAAACGAGGGACAAAATAGGAATTTGAAATACCTTGACTGCAGGAGATTTTCCTCCTGGAAAGTGACCGCCCTTTCTTCCTGCCGCCGTCGCTAGAGAGGGAAGAGGAGCTTTTGAGCTTCTCTTTCAAGCTCTCGATCTCCGCTTCCTTCGCCTTTACCTCCCTCTTCAGCTCCTCTATCGCCGCCTCATAAGGCGCCACCACCTCCCTCAGCGAAGCAACTTGCTCTCTCCCCTTCCTCCCTCCAACGCCACCACCACACCTCCTAAACCTGTCTCTCAACATCCCCAGCTTCCTCAGCTCCCCGACCAACGCAACGTCGGCCGCCCTCATCCTCTCCGGGTCCCAGGGACTGTGCGCCTCTTGCATATTCACATACGCCTTCTTCATCGAGGACACCACATCAAACACCTCATTCATCAAAATCACCATCTCCCCCACTTTCCCTCCCTTCCAAATCCCCATTCCTGATTCCCCATCTCCCTTATACCCATTGAACCCATCGTTGTCTTCCTTAGAGGACTCGCACTCGAACGATGACTCTTCTTCCTCTTTGCCTCTTACGACGTCGTTTACGAAGGGGCCAATGTCAGGGGTTTCTCCAGGTCCTTCCCCGCCAGCGGCGAGCGGGTTCAGCAAGCAAGAAGCTGTGACTCGCTGTATCAGATCCGAAAAGCTCGATACTCTGGCAGACATTGACATCGTTCCTGCTTTCTTCTTCACCTTATACTCCGCCGCTCTGCAAATTTACAGAGAACAAATAAGAGAGAAACAGTGGGAAAGGCAGCGCCGGAAAATGTCAGTGCCGAACGTTTTACCTGGTGCCGTTGGATCCTAAAGTGAATCTTCAGCGATTCACCGATTCTGCTGCGACGGATCTCCGTTGGACGGAGGGGATTTCAGTTTCTTCTTCGTGATTATGGAGCCAACTAATTATAGACACGTGTGCGTACGGCGGCTGTATTTACTGGACTGCGGCTGTTGGGCGATGGGCCTGGAATGGCGTCCTCGCTTTTTTGGTTCGGAGAAGGGGAAGCTGGCGTCACGTGGGTGGGCTTTTTTTTCGAGATTGATATTCGGAATCTGATTAACGTTTTAACTGAAGAAAATGGCGGGGGCCCGTTAGCTTTGTTTTGGTCAACAACTCTAGTGACAGCGAGGGCCCGTTAGCCCGTTTAGAGTTTGGGACAGCAAATTTTTTCTTTTTCACGTGATATTGTATGAAGAAAAAGTATTTTTTTAACAGAGATTGTTTTTTTTTTAGGTAGTAAAATTAT